TTTATTAATTGATGTTGATTGTTAATGTTACTTAATGTTGATTATTGTGTAATTTTGAGTTGTGGGGATTTCAAGATTCATTGTAGCACATCATAGAGCAGAACTTTCCATCCGGTGTGCATTCACAAGGACTTCTGGGTATTGTGAATTGCTCTTATAGGCCCTCTATTGGTTATCAGGGGAATTGAAACTATATTTGGGAAGTATGACCTGTGTTAGAAAACTGTGTTTTTGTTTCTTTTTAACAATTGAGGTCATTTCTTTTTTGAAAATAAAAAAAATTACTACTGAAAGGTTCTAGTTCTGCTAGCACAGCTAAATATTTTTTTGTTTGAATTGTATAAGATTGACCCTTTCCAAAAAAGTATTTTAGTTTTGAGGAATTCTCAAAACGCTAAGCTTTTTATTGTTATGTGAAAACTGGAATGTAGGAAAATTGTTTTGTTTTATTTTTTGAGGGAATTACCCGCTCCAGAATCCAAGTTAGCTTTATGTATGTATGTATGTATGTATGTATTTATATATTTATTTATTTAAAACTATATGTCCATTGTAGAAAAGCATGCAGTCAGCCACTCAGACACCACCACAGATATCTTTGTTGATATTTGGTGTTTTTTCTTCTGGTGTTTCAGTACAACCTTGGTGTTGAGATAAGCTTTTCAGGACTTTCTGTACAGTTTTATATCCTGTTCACTTAGAAGTGCAACGTTAGTATTTCCTGCAGGCACTGATTTTCTCAGAACTGGCAAGGCATTCTTAGAAAATGTATGTGATTTTTGTTTGTTTGTTTACATGGAAAATTCTCTCGTGTGTGTGTGTGTGTGTGTGTGTGTGTGTGTAAGGAACAGAAACTGGTCATACTAAATGGTAACATAGAATAAATATGCAGTAAATTACCATGTTGCCTAATTAAGCAGTGTTATATATCACTAGAGGCCTGGTGCATGAAATTCGTGCACTGAGGAGGGGCATCCCTCAGCCCGGCCTGCCCCCTCTCGCAGTGCAGGAGCCCATAGGGAGCGGGCCTAAGCCTGCAGTTGGACATCCTTAGCACTGACACAGAGGCAGGAAAGGCTCCTGCCACCACCCCTGTGCTTGCCAGCCATGAGCCCAACTTCTGGCTGAGTGGCAGTCCCCCTGTGGGGACACACTGACCACCAGGGGGCAGCTCCTGCATTAAGCGTCTGCCCCCTGGTGGTCAGTGCGCATCATAGGGACCTGTCATTCCACCGTTTGGCCGATTTGCATATTAGCCTTTTATTATATAGAATATTAAAGCTAGCCCCTTTCTGTAATATTAAACTTCTTTCTTACATTTAAAATTTGTACTTTTTGTTGATTTTGAGAGAGAGAGAGAGAGAGAGAGAGAAGCATTGATTTGTTTCAATTAATGATGCATTCATTCATTGATTGCTTCTTTTGTATATGCCCTGATTAGACATCAAACCTGCAACCTTGCATGTCGGGGTGTCACTCTAACCAACCAAGCTACTTTGCCAGGGCCTGCATTTCATTTTTACAGGAAGAAGATTTTTAAGAGAAATGCTGGCCTTCGCTCAGAAACCTGTATTATTTGTTAAAAGGAACTGTAGTTTTTATACAGATTTTTGAGGATAATTGATACTTTCTAAAATAACAAAATTGAATAGCATATAAGTATTAGGTACACATGCATAAATATAAGATATACATGTATCCAAAAATGTGTTAGACATATGGCTAAGTTTTTTTCTCATATCTCTAGGATGGAGCATTTTAATAAAATAAGAGAATTACTAAACTGCATTGTACATTTTGTGTTATGTGTAAATTGGAATTTGGTAGGACTACAGGAATACTCTTAAAAACTAAAATCTGCCGAAACCGGTTTGGCTCAGTGGATAGAGCGTCGGCCTGCAGACTGAAGGGTCCCAGGTTCGATTCCGGTCAAGGGCATGTACCTGGGTTGCGCGCACATCTTCAGTAGGAGATGTGCAGGAGGCAGCTGATCGATGTTTCTCTCTCATTGATGTTTCTAACTCTCTATCTCTCTCCCTTTCTCTCTGTAAAAAATCAATAAAATATATTTTTTAAAAAAAACTAAAATCTAACTTTAAATTATTTGGTTGGTAAGTCTAATTGAAAAATTGGATATAAAAAGAAATTTATTCATTTGTGAGCAGTGGCAAAGAAAGGGCAGTTTATAAAATAAAGTGATAATTGAATTCTTTCCAAAAATCTCATTTCTAATTTTGTGCACTAGTTTATTTTTATAGCTTATATGCAAGAAAGAATTAAAATTAATTGCCTAAATTAGGTATTCTTTTGGACATTTGATTTAGGCTATTGTAAATTATCTTAGATTAATCTGGATAGATACTTAATTTGATGGAAAATATTTTCAAGTATTGGGGTGGTTTATGTTGTACCTAACTAATTTTGGCCCTTTTGGAAATTTTAAGTGATGAACATAGAAAATACTAGCAAGAAATTTGAAATTCTGCATTTAGTTGGAGTCTACATAATTTTGACCTATCTACAAAGCGAAGGGCAATAGTTTATATTCCTTTGACTATAAGTAAATCCTCTCGCTCCTTGTGAACCAAACAAAAGACATGAGTTAATACTTTAAGCATGCTTTAATGATAAAGATGACAATATCACCCTTATTAAAAACATGTACTGTGCGTCACATCAATACTTTAAAATGCTTTTTCCAAATAAAAATGAATAGAGAACGTCATTAAACAAAAAGTAGGCCATCTCAAAGATAAGGAACAATAAAATAGGTCCTTTGTGAAGACCAGGCAAAATGAGAACATCGGGAGGGCAATCAATGAAAGGAGAAGTGAAACTGCCCATGACAGGTTCAGGACCAGAGAGCTTGATGCCTGCCCTGTGTGCAGAGCTGGCCTCTTTATTATGGTTTATTTTGAAGTTAAAATTAAGGGGAGGAAAAAAGACATGGCACTCATCATAGAGGTGATATATTTCAAACGTTTGAAATAGGATGATTTCAAGATCTTTTAATTTAGAGTCATTTTCAAAGCTATGAAAAAACTCTTTAAATATAATCAGGCCTGTTTTATGTTTATTGTCTTTAAGGAATATGTATAATGTTCTAATCTTAGATTTCAAACAGTGTGGGCAGAGCAATATCATGTTTTATTTCATCTTTTCATTGGAAATTGTGTTGTCCAAAAGGATCCTTATTTAGATGTGGCTTCACAAAGATATTTGCAGGGCTTCAATTACTACTCTATGTAAATGAATTATTAATTTTAAAAAAAACACCTATAGGTCACTTTTAAAGTCAGGTTAATAAATTTCCTATTGACTAGATTTCTCCAAACATCTGCTTAATGAATATTCAGAAAACATTTTGACCTGGCTTCGTTTGGGGATTATAAAACTAATGAAAATTAAAGGCATATTATACCTTATTATGGCAATAGGTGCAATATAATATGGTAACTCAAGTCACAGTTGTAATTAATTTAAGGAGTAAACAGATTTGTAGTTTTCTCTCATATCTCTTGATTTTTTTCTCTCTAAAATATTTCAAACTTGCAAATAGAAGGAATGGCTATGCATAGAACGGTTTAAAGCCACTTTAAACCATTGGACTTTGCAATTTTAGAGCACAAACATCTATCTAGTAGTTTACTAGTATTTCAGGAAGTGTTTTCTTACTAAATTATTAAAACACTTCTCTCTTTTCCAACTACATTTTTGTGTAAGGCCAGATTTTCATCATATACTTCAACCAACCTAAAGTAGCAGTTCAGATTCAGAAGCAGATGAGTGCTCACTATCTTTTATTAAGATATGTTAAAATAGATGCACAGGTGATGGGTTTATTATTGACATATTAAAATGAATTATTAAGTAAAATATTTGTTAATCTCTTGGTTTCACTTTCTAATATGGTAAACAAATACCAGTAGCTATAAGCCACATGAACAAAGTCTCTTTTGGGTTCCTCAAGAATCTTAAGATGTGAAAAGGGCCAAAACCGGGTTGGCTCAGTGGATAGACCATCGGCCTGCGGACTGAAGGGTCCCGGGTTCGATTCCGGTCAAGGGCATGTGCCTGGGTTGCGGGCATGTCCCCAGTGGGAGATGTGCAGGAGGCAGCTGATCGATGTTTCTAACTCTCTATCTCTCTCCCTTCCTCTCTGTAAAAAATCAATAATAAAAAAAAAAAAAGATGTGAAAAGGATCCTGAGATCAAAAAATGTGAGAACTGCTATTTTAATTCCTTATGACTGAAAGTGTGGTTCCAGAAATCACTTGAACTATGGGAACTACTCCCTCCCCCACCCCATCTCCACTCCAGTCGGAACTACAGTATAGCAAGGTCTTCCTGTGATTCTCCCATACATCAAGGAATCCCAGCCTCCAGGGTCTTCCGGCAAGGGAAGTGCCTCAGTAGAAATCCTACAGGCAAAGTGAAAACACAGGGAGAGAGCACTGGGAGATTCCAAGACCCAGAGCCTTCTTTCCTGAAATGGTTTCCTCTGTTAAAGTATTGCCTTTTAGGAACACATTCGCACACAGTTTAGATGCTTGGAATTGCCTGGAGGGCCAATTGAAATCTGGGCTCAGTGAGAGTAGGCTGGTCACTCAGGAAAAGAAGACCTATTGGAGACAGAAGCCTGCAGCATTACTCAAAATCCTCCTTAGCAAGGTGTGTCTCCAGGCACATGCTTATAATTGGAAGATAAAGGCAGAAAAATGTACACAAACAAAAATCCCACTTAAAGTTTAGTTGATATCAAAAGCATACATGCAATCCAAGCAGATGATCACATTTATGTAAAGCATTTGTGAAATTAACCAGGCTGTGGCACTTTGTGGCAGAGGCAGACATTTATATGTTTTTAGTGGGGTTAGTGTTCAGTCTGAAACAAACTATGTTTGGATTAAGTGTACAACCAGACAGTTTAATATAAACTGTTGTAACAAAATCTTCCATTTCTCAGCCCTAATAACTGTTTGTGTTCTTCTTGCTTTTAGGGTGAATCTGTAAAATATTTCCTGGATAACTTGGATAAACTTGGAGAACCAGTAAGTTTTTTAACTGAGTGTTCAGTGCCATTTGAAAGCAATAGTCAGGATATTGATGTCAGGAAATTTAGAAAAAGTATGTATCAGGCTATTTGCTTCTTTCTGTGTCCTAGTGGCAGTATTCTGACTGTTCCCACTTCATTTTTTTCTCCCTCTACTATCCAGATCTCTGCCATTTCCTTAAAGAATTGCCCTATCCACTGCTCTATGAAAGTAAAACTGTTTAGAGAATGAAGTTTATGTTTGAAAATGAGATAGCATTTTATATGTTCTACTTTACTGTCTTTTGGGTTTTTGTAAACAGAAAGAACACAGTGAGTTCATTGATTTTAAAACCTTTCAGAAAACGGTGTTTTCCAGCTCGGAGCCCCTTTGTGTTGAGTTACAATGTAGGAGGGCTAGAACTGAAGGCCCAATGAAGAGACTCCACGTTGTAGGAGAAAGAGTTTGTGATTTTCCTGCCGTGTGTCCCTCAGAGCCAGCAGCTCTCAGCTGGCTGTGGCTGGCCCTGGCCTGCGCCACCGCGGGCAGAGCAGCTGCACTGTTTGTTCTCCGTATTGGATTCATGCAGGAGACACCATCGGGAGGAAGGTTCTGCTGCCTAGAAAATGTTTGGAAGCCGTTGCCTTAGAGGCATTTGTTACCTGCTAAGTTTAGTGCAGTTCTGTTTTCCTCCTCTTAAAGCTAATTTCTGTTATAATTTTAATATGATCTCATGGGTTCTTTGAGATATTTAACTTTATAACTTAAAGGAAGCACAGCATGAAACCCATTACGAGTAGGAAAGTAACATACCGATGGATCTAGGACACGTGAAAAAGTGCCCTCTTTTTATTCTAGCAGGATAATTTTTGTATTTTCCCTTATTTTGTATTTTGCTAAATTGTATTTGTTTGCCCTTAAAACCGGTGTTTTTCTCCTACCTGTTTCTTACACACAGATGTTCCAGAAGTTGGGATCCCCATATTTATCTGTTTTTACTCAGTCCACATCAATGAAACTTTTTATTAAGTCTTATCTCATTATCACTCTTCCATCTGGTCAGATTATAAGCCTTAAAAAAAGTTAAGAGAATCCTTAGTAGATAAACTAATTTTTAAGAGTTTTTTTTCATGTTTTCCAATCCAAACACTGACCTGCTCTTCTTTTATTTTTTCTTTTATACTTTTGAAATATATATATCTTCATTGATTTTGGAGAGGGCAAGATAGAAACATCACCGATGAGAGAAATCGTGAATCGGCTGCCTCCTGCACTATAAGGGCACAATCCTGCAACTTGGGCATATGCCCTGACCAGGACGAACTGTGACCTTCTGGTTCATAGGCAACGCTCAACCACTGAGCCACAGCGGTTGGGCTGACCTCCTCTTCTTAATTTGCCTTTTCACATAGGCCTTCTTTGAGCATACCGCTTAAAGTAGGTCTCCTCCTCTTGTTTTCAGGGTCAGCCCTGGCTTGTTTCAAACCTCCTTGCTCTTATTACTACAGTTGGTTTACTTAGTTCTATGCTTATTGGTCTTTTGCTATAGGCCAACTCCAGTAAATTTTGTACTAACTGCTTGGTATCTTATATTGAGGACAGTTCTGAGGCTACATCTGGAATAAAAAGGAAAAAGTGCTGTAATCAGTTGGTAGTTGTAAAGGAGGGAAGAGTTGTAAACCTGGGTGCGCTGGACATTGGCCACCCATTCTGTACATATTAGACAAGTCCCAGGATTGCATTTGCTTCTCCATCTCTGACTGTGGCACCAGGGTCATTGAAGCCCTTCTGTGTGCCCAGCCCCATGACCCTCTGGTAGGTGGAACAGCACCTAGATCAAGGACCTGGGTTCTGCACCCAGACCACCTGGGTTCCAATCCCAGTGCTATCACAGACTGGCTCTGTGTGACCTTTGGCGTTTCTAAACCAGTTTTTTCATCCATGTCATAGGCATAGTAAGAGAACCGACCGCATAGGGTGTGGGACAGTTCCATGAAATAAACCCCCTGTCTCAGTCTGCTCAGGCTGCCATAACAAAATACCACAGCCTGGGAGGGCTTAAACAAAGACATTTATTTCTCACAGTTCTGGAGGCTGGCAGTCCAAGATCAAGGTGCTAGCTAAGGAGGGTCATGAAAGCCAGTCAGCAAAGTTCAGATCTGATGGAGTGTGGGTGGTTCCGAACTCACGATGCAGGAGGGGTCAGCCTGGGGGTGGCTTAGAGGTAAAACCAAGAGGTGCAAGGCATTCAAGGCAGAGAAACTAGTGAAGAGATGGTGATCCACACCTGAGATGAAAGAAATGGGGCAATAAGGAGGAAAGGAAAAATGTAGGAAAGATTCAGAGAAAGAACAGAGGATTTAATGTGAGATAGAAGATGATAGAGAGGCTTAGAGAATGCAGACATTGTTGGAGGGACAGGAAATAGAAAGGAAAATTTACTGGTTGGAGTTGGAGGAGTTGGTAAGGAAGAATATGAGTTTTCTTATTGTAGACATTGTATTTGTGAATAGATTGTCAAGTGCAAATGAACGGTGAGCATTTAAAAATGAGACTGCAGAGACTTGAGTGGAAGTTTACCTGCTTGTCACAGCCTTCTTGATTTCCCTCCCTACAGCAAGTGGCTATGGTGGGTGGCTGATACAGTAGGAACTGCTAGATAGTAACGTAAAGCGTGCCAAACACGACTCTTAAGCACTTCATTCCTTTAACTCATATAGTGCTCACAGCACCCCTAGGAATGTTACTATATTTTACAAATGAGGAAATTGAGACAGAGAGGTTAAGTGGCTTGTCCAAGGTCACACAGCTAGTATTAAAGCTGACTCTAGAATTCACATTCCTAATCACTATTACTGTTAAACCATTTAGCATTAAATGACATTGTCCTGTGTTTTATGCTTTGTATGAATTAGCCTTTAGCTTCCTAACTAGAGTGTTAGCTCCTAATTAAGGCAATAATAAATATGTTTTTATATTTTTGAAATTAGAACATTTTAAAGAAAGAACAATTCAGGGCTGGCATGTTTCTGAGGCATCTGGCACACAAGTGCACTGTGAATTGGTACCACCTTCCTAGAAAGCAGTTGGGCATTTAGTGTCCAGGATTGTCAAAATGTTTATAACCTTTGACCTCATAATCTTATTCCCGATTATTTAGATGTATGCATAAGAATTTTAATTGCTGCGCCTCTATTAATTAAAGCAAAAAATTGGGAACAACTTAAATGAGCACTAGTAGGAGAATGTTTCTGTAAATCATATCACATTAATCCATCGATGTAAAGTAGGTAGGTATGTGAACAACAGCTAGAAGGAAGCCTGGAAATGCCAACACTTTGGAGTCCCAGAGTTACTTAATAAAATGGCTGTTAATTACAGATAACTGTGAACTGCCTCCTTTTTTCCTTTACTCCAACACGCTATTTTCAGGAGATAAGTTTACAATTCGCATTGTAAGGACACTTTCAGAATCATATTACACTATTTGGAAAGACATAAAATGCAGCATTGCAAATAACAGCACTGTTTTTAAAAAACTTGCCCTGATTCTAAAAAATATGCTGACCTTGATGATGAGAATTTAAGGCTCTTCTGTTCAGTATTGCCAAAAAGCTTTGTCAACGTTCTGGAAAAACACTAGCCTGAGAAGAGAGAAATCAGTTATACTGCATAACAAAGGCAATTCTACGGTAGCCAGTGACTCTAGCCAGTGACTCGTGAGACCAGCAGCTTCTTTCTGCTCAGAGTCTGGTAGTTGTCTGAGCCTGCTCACAGAGAAGGGCTCATTTGACCTTTGCATAAACTGTCCCTTAGAGGCAGGTAGGCAAGCCATTGTCACCTTCATTTCACAGGCAGAAGTGCTGACAGAGTAAATGACTACTTGTGTCAGTAGATGAGACAGCTGGAACACAACTACACCATACCCTGGAAACAGACCGAGAAAGTGGCCAAGTAAAGTCAGCTCATGAGTTACAGTAGAGGAAGTGTTTTCTATGTTTGTAGTACAGCAGCGATGATAATAACATGGAGTGACCAGCATAGAGGGTCTTAGTCATTGAGGCGATAAAGGAATGTTTAGTGTGGATTAGAGAGAGGCAGAACCTAGAAGTGATCCTCCTGAATGGACATTCAGACCCCAGGAGCAGGTGTGTGCATGAGCAGTGGCTGAAACTAAGAGTGGGTTACGGTGGGGAGTTACACTGAAGGCAGATACACAGCAGTTGGTAGATAAGACCTTAAAT